GTCATGAGAGAAGACTTGTTGAATTCAAAGGTGATGGGTTAACATAAGTATACTTCCCGCCCTTGATGACTTCCTCACAAGGCCGGTAAGTGGAGGACTTCTTGATGGGTATATCCCTATACCCGACCCGGACAACCGAAAGGGACAGGTCAAAATATGACCGGTCACTTTTATCAATCACCAAATGAGGTTAACTCTTCGATTGGGACGGGTCAACTTTTGACCGGTCACTTCCACTAAAAAAGTGACCGGTCACATTTTGGGCGTTAGCCAAAATGTCGCCTAATGTTACAAAGGACAATCTAGAAGACCAGAGACGGGTTGAGCACAAAGAATGACCGGGTAACCTTTGAGAGAAGGTGACCGGTCATGTCACTTTACTTTGCAAACATTGGTCCAGTATCTCAGGCATGGTGAACCACGTATGAGATCGAGGGATCACCCCGCCGTTCGTCCATCACGAGGCAAACAGTGAAAGGAATGTTTGTCATTTTGTAGGGCTGATTGGATTGAGAATATCCATTTATAGTCTTTGATTGAACAGTACATGTCTTGGCTTATAGTTGCTAAATTCATTGATTGAATAGTAGATTGATTATGTACAGTGACCTTCCTCCGGGTTTCCTATTTTGTCCATGGATGAACAGGGGAAGGTCACAAATCCTCCTCTACAAATATGATGATATTGGATAGAGGAGGGGGGCCAATTTTTCTCTCACTAAAGTTCACTCTTGAGATAGAGTAAGAAATATAATTCGGACTGAGGAGATTTACCCGGTCTAGGTCATACTTTGTGTTCTTGTTGTGTGTTTTATATTACGGGTCGAGTGTGTCCAGGTCAAACCCGGTTAACCCACCCCGCTATATTTACACCATCAGAAAAAGTAAGGGTTTTAAAGAACAGAGGGAGTAATTTCTTTTCTAAAACGCGTTCCAAATCCCTATATATCATCATCCGAGTAGAGATAGTTAAGTTAATATAATCAATATTTTTTATTTTATGATTATTTTTTAATGAAATAAAATGAGTTAATTCATATATTAGAATAATCTTTCATATTATAATGTAATAATATTTTTTATTTTATGATTATTTTTTATGAAATAAGAATATTGATTTAATATATTAATAATTAGTTTATAAATACATTAGAATAAATATTTAATTCATATATACATTAAAAAGTAATTAAAATTAGATAATCAATATAGAGAAGAGATAGTATATATTTTTATTAAAATATCTCATCCCTATAAAATATGAATGTGTGCTTTGTACTACGAAACTTTTTTCATGATTAATATAACACCATAGATATAATAGTTATTTCAGTTACACTAAAATATACTCCGTATATGAATATCAAATGTTAATTTTATTTAAGTCATGATTAAAGTTTATCAACTCGATGTAGTAAAAGATCAAAACTTTAGAAACTCAAATTACAGGTAGAAATAAAAATGTATTATAAAAGTAGAATTAGATTGACATTGTCAATGTATATTTTAAAAAAAATTTCCGATATCTAATAATTAAGGATTACTTTCTCAGTTTTCTATTTAACTTGTTTCTAAAGTTTATTCTTTTTCATTTTTAAGAATGATAATAATAATAATAATAATAATAATAATAATGATGATGATGATGATGATTATAATAATCCTTGATTGGATCTGATTTGATCTGATCTGATTAGATCTGATCTGATTCGATCTCATCTGTTCTAATCTGATTAACTCTGATTAATCTGATCTGGTTTGATCTGATCTGATTTTAATAAGAATAAGAAAAATAGAAAAAATAAATTGAACGAAACGAAGCCTTGGTCGGTTCGTAGAAAGATTTGCTAAGGGACCTAATAGGCACCAATTTTTAAAAAATTGAAGGGATTCATGAAACATATTTGCAAAAAATCTTATGGCCTGAAGTCACTGAACCGGTAAAAGTAGGAAAATGTAAGGACTAGGGGTGCATACAAATCAAATAAAATGTATTCGATTCGTGATTCGTATTCGAAAAGGATGATTCGAATTTGCTATATTCGAATTCGAATCCGAATAAAAATCATATTTTAGATTCGAATTATTTTCGAATTCGAATACAAATATTAATAGATTCGATTCGTTTATTATTCGAATTATTCGAATATTATAATTTATAAATAAATTTACATATATTCTAATATATTAAATATTTGTGTACATATTTTAACATATTTTAATATATTAAATTTTTGTGTACATATAAATTTATATATATTCGAATATTATAATTTATAAATAAATTTATATATATTCTAACATACTTTTACTACATTTTACATTATTATAAAATGATAATTTAATTTCTTTAAGAAATCTGTTTTAAGAAAAAAATTACTAATATTTTCAAATTTGAATATTCGAATACGAATTCAAATACGTCAAATATCTATCGAATCGAATATGAATGTTTTTTAAAATTCGAATTATATACGAATTCGAATTCGAATACATATCACTCTAATCGAATACGAATCGAATAGTGATATATTTGCTTTGATTCGATTCGTATACACCCCTAGTAAGGACCATGTCAAATTATTGCTTTAAATATATTGCAATTCACGTTGGAAACATCTCTGTGTAAAAGTGGACATAAAATAGATTTCCAAAAATTGTGAGGACTGAACCGGAAAAAGTAGGAAAACATAAGGATCACATTGAAGTTGTTAGACAAAATATTTAAATATTACTCCTTCCATCTCGAAATAGATTATAATTTTTTTTCTTTCCTCTCGATAACTATTGTTTATTTGTGTGTTTTCGTTGAGTATTCGATAAAATAGAATATTCTTGTTACAAGTCTTTCAAAACAAAAATAGGACTTCACACTGTCATTGTTATACTGCCACACTTACCATATTGTCACATTTTAACTGTCACACTATCAATGCCATACTGCCATCTGTCGCCACCGGCCACTGGAGTGCCGCTACAAATCGCCGATCGTTGTCTGATCACACTGACATATTATACTATATATCACTTTTCTATCAAAGTGTCAATACGTATTTTTCCACCACACTGCCATTACACTCTTATTATAGTTTTAAAAGACATAGGACTTCTATTTTGATGTTTTCAAACTTTTTCATTCCTATTCAGTGACATTTCTTTTAGAGTTAATATTACCAAAAAAATTATTATTCGCTTAAAAGTGTTCTTGATTTATTATACTTCTTTTGTCCCAAAATTAGTTTCCCTCTTCTGTCTTTGGTTATCCCATAATAAATACTTCTTTTATCCCAAAAACAATGTCACAGCTCACTATTCAAAAATCAGATTTTTTTTTGTTTATTTGTATATTTTAACCGATTACTTGGGTATTTGATAAAATAAAATATTTTTATCACCTACTGTTTTGAAGAACTTTTACTTAATTTTTAAATAATCCTTCTGTCCCAGAAAGAATTTCAAAAATTACTATTCAAAAATTGCGAATTTTTTTAGTTATGGTACTTGATATATTGATATTGGCACTCCAATAAATACTAGATGCACTCTCCTCTTTGTTTTCTTTTATTTTTCTCCCTAAAATACCCTTGTGTACAATGTTTCAATTCATTCTTCATAGTTAGAAATGTTATATGGAGTACTATATTTTTTAATTAATCAATTTGGTCGGTTTGTAGAAAGATTGGCTAAGGGACCTAATAGGCACCACCGCACCAAATTTAAAAAAAAATGAAGGGACCCTCCACCATTCGTGTCGGGCAAGGGGGTGGGGGCGCCTGGGGTGGGTGATTCCACCTTTTGGACCGAAAAAAAATGAAGGAACAGTTCCAAAAATTGTGAGGACTGAACCGGAAAAAGTAGGAAAACATAAGGATCACATTGAAGTTGTTGGACAGAATATTTAAATAATATTCCATCCATATGGAATTAGATTACAATTGTTTTCTCTTCTCTCGATAACTTTTGTTTATTTAGGTGTTACATCGAGTATTTGTTGTAGAAATTTTGTTGTAGATTTTTAGGTTGTGTATGGTTGGAGTAAAATATTTTCTTTGAAGAATATTTTTCAAAGGAAAATAATTCCAAGGATTAGTTTAAAAGTGTTCCTAATTTATTATACTCCTTTGGAGTAAAATATTTTCTTTGAAGAACATTTCTTATTATAGAGTTAATAGTACTAAAAATTTATAATTGTATTAAAAGTGTTCCTAATTTATTATACTCCTTTCATCCCAAAATTAGTTTCCCTTTTTTGGTTATCCCATAATAAATACTTTCTTCATCCCAAAAACAATGTCACAACTCACTAATAATCACTATTCAAAAATCATGAAAATTTTGTTTGTATGTTTTGATGGGTTACTTGGTATTTGATAAAATAAAATAATTTTATCACCTTCTCTTTTGAAGGATTTTTACTTAATTTTAAATAATCCTTTTGTCTAAAAAAGAATCACACAGTTCACTATTCAAAAATCGTGAAATTTTTTATTTATGGCAATTGATATTGGCACTCCAATAATTACTAGATGCACTCCCCTCATTGTTTTCTTTTATTTTTCTCCCTAAAATACCCTTGTGTACAATATTTCAATTCATTCTTCATAGTTAGAAAAGTTATATGGAGTACTACTTTATTTTTTAATTACTCCGTATTTAATTAATTTTTTTATTAAAAAAAGTCACCGTATTGAAAAGCCTTGAAATTTTTTTTCATTTTGCGTGATGTGGAAAATATTTTACGACTGAGAGAATTATATTTTCTTTTTTTGGCATGCACCAATTATTTATTTGAAATAAAAATACACTTTTACTCTAGATATTCTTCATATTTCCTCGATTTAGTTATTCATTTGCTCGAAAATTTCATTTCAAAGAAATGAGTTAAAAATGTCAAATAAAGCATTTAAATAAGTTTGTCAATAGCTCATGTCAACAATGTGTACAATGGACAAATAAAGACAAGAAACTGCATAATTCATTCTGAGTGGAGAGTTATGTGTTCAAAGAAACGAAGACTTTATTATAAGTGATTAAAGAAGGTATATAATAGACTTCTAGCATATGTTTAATAAATAATAACGTCCACTTCACTTTTATCATATAAAAAACAAAAGACATTTACTCCGTATATAGAGGTAGTATTTAAATATAAGAATTGAAGTTATTGGGAAATTAGAAAACAAGTGATGCAAAAGTGTAGTCCTACTACTTCCGTTTCTAAATATTTGTCTAGTTTTAACTTTTTTTGGTCAACTATTTTTAACTTTTGACCTATAACTAAATAAAATATAAATTGTATATTAACTAGATAATATAATATTTTGAAAATATTTGATATAATAAATCTAATAAAACTACTTTTGTATCAATATCTAATATTATTTTTATTTAATTTGAGATCATAGTTTACCAATTTTGAACGAAAAATAAAAATGGACAAATACTCAAGAATGGGGGAAATATTTTTTAAGAAAAATACCATTTTAACTCTAACATTTGAGCCTCACCCTTTAGGCTCCGTTCCGTTCAACTTTTTTTTTTCTAATCTGATCTGATTTTTTGTAGTTTTGATCTAATCTGATCTGATTGGATTTGATCAGACTGGATCTGATTTGATCAAATCAGATTGAATCTGATCTGATCTGATCTAATTGGATCTGATATGATTTGGTCTGATCCGATTGGATCTGATATGATCTGATCTAATCTGATCTAGTCTGTTATGATTTGATTTAAAATTCAAATCAATAATTTGATTTGACTTTATGATAACGTTTGAAAATTGTAATGATAATTCATATTATAATATAATCAATATTTTTATTTTATGATTATTTTTTAATGAAATAAAATTAGTTAATTCATATATTAGAATAATCATTCATATTATAATGTTATAATATTTTTTATTTTATGATTATTTTTTTATGAAATAAGAATATTGATTTAACATTTTAATAATTAGTTCATATATACATTAGAGTAATATTTAATTCATATATACATTAAAAAATAATTAAATTTAGATAATCAATATAAATAAGAGATACTATTTTTTATGATTAATATAACATCATAGATATAATAGTTATTTCAGTTACACAAAAGTATACTCCGTATATGAATATCAAATTTTAATTTTATTTAAGCCATGATCAAAGTAGTAAAAGATCAAAACTTTAGAAATTCAAATTACAGGAAGCAATAAAAATGTATTTTAAAAGTAGAATTAGATTGACATTGTCAATGTATTTTAAAAATAATTTTTTCGACGTCTAATAATTAAGGATTATTTTCTTAGTTTTCTATTTAACTTGTTTTTAAAGTTTATTTTTTTCATTTTTAAGAATAATAATAATAATAATAATAATTCTTGATTGAATTTGATCTGATCGGATCTGATGATCTGATTAGATCTGATCGAATCTAATTCGATCTAATCTGATATGATCTAATTTGATTAAATCTGATCTGAACTAATCTAAACTGATTTGATCTAATATGATTTTAATAAGAATATAAAAAATAGCAGAACAAATAAATTTAACGGACCTTAACCTCATTCCCACGGAATTAAAGTTATTGGGAAATTAGAAAGCATAAGTCGTTATATAAATATAGGAATTGAAGTTATTGGGAAATTAGAAAGCAAGTGATGCAACACAGATTACACTATTCAAAATCATAATGCAACACCACGAGATTGTACTCAACAATGGCATTATCTGACGTGAGATTGAAATAATTAGTCTGCGCGGTGGCGATGCCACTTGCCAGCCGGAAAACGCCAGTGCCCCCGACGATGGGCATCTCACGGTATTCATTGTAGTAGGCGTTCCGGCCGAGAATGCTAAGAGTGCTACCGTTAAACTCTCCGCCGCCCGTGAAAAAAAAGTTAAGAACCATGAGAAGGCTAACCTCGTCGACTCCAGTGAACCCATAGGTTCCCTGACCTCGGCCGACCACCTTCGAACGAGGATCTGGGGTCTCAGTCAGCAAATCGTCCATTACGGAGAGGGCTCCGAACCGGGTGGTGGACTTGCCGGTGAAATTCGACTCAGCAATTTGGTACGCTGTTGGCTTGTTTCCGGTGACGATGTCGTGGTAGTAGAAGTGCAGTTTGGTTATCTTTGGTTTCGCTTTTGGAAGCTTTTCAAACCACTGATCCACCCCGCCCGGCCCGAAAGCCACCCCGGACACCACCGGCACGGCGGCGGAGGCACCAACAAGTATGCAAACTAGCATCAGAGCAACTACTCCCATCTTGCCCATATATCCCTAGATAGCTTCTCCCTTAATATTTTTAGCATTTGTTTATATATATATATATATATATATATATATATATATATATATATATATATATATATATATATATATATATATATATATATGCACTGCACCATCCTATTTGTAGGCTATAATATTCCTCCCAAAGTCAACTTTTCACTCCTTTCTCTTGTTCGTTCATACTATGAACTTTTTCTTTTACTCTTTTTCAAAATATTAGTTGGTTAGCCTTGATTTGCTAAGCCTTATGTTTTGATGTTAACAAATAATATAAGAGCTAACTTTTATTTAAGTGTTTCAGGTACAACAAGAATCTATACCGTAAGGGGTACCGTGAGCCAATCTGAGAAGGTACCCCTACTGCCAAGTCGGGACCCCCCTACCGTAAGGGGTACTGTGACTCTGTGAGTCAATCTGAGAAGATACCCCCTACCGTAACCCACATGTAGGTACCGATCGTAAAAATGGAGATCAGCTCCTTTTGCACTATGGCGGTACCCCTTACCGTGACCACACACAGGTACCGACCGTTAAGGCAGAGAAACAGCCTAAACACTATTGTAACGGTACTCTATACCGTTTGAACGGTACCCCCAACCGTTACCGTTGGAGAAAAAAATTCAAATTCCGGATTTCAAATCTAATCACATTTAATTAATCAAAATCCTTCCAAATTTGTCTCCAACGGCTAAATAACTTTTTCCACTATAAATACAAGCTTAATCCTTCATATTTCAATATGAAACAAAGCTCCAAAGATCCTCCCTTAATATTCTAAGTGTGTTCATTCTTTTATTTATTATTTTCAATATTTTGGTTATTTCAAGAGTCTTAAATTCCCGATTTTCATAACACACTTTGAGTTTGTGTTTCTACTTATATACTCTCATATTCATAAGTTTGAATTGTATTTTTAAGAGAGTATTATTTCCTTCTACACCCGCTAAGTTTTGTTCTTCATTTTTTATTCTAGCCGTTGTGTAGAATCCTCGTTTGTGTTCTTCAAACACACTTTCTTACGGTCGAGAATAACTGTTAAATTCTCACGTTGTAACAGTTAAGGATAGCCGTATAAATCCTTGGATACAGGTTCAAGGATAGCCTTTGAAATCTTTGGGGGAACGGTAGAAGATAGCCGTTAAATCTTCGTTGTAAACGGTTCGAGATAGCCGTGGTGAAATCTCGGAGCGAATCCTATTGGAAAAGGTTGTTTGCCAAAACTAGTGCGCTGCTTTAACGGAGTTCAAGAGACCAGGACTTAGTGGATTCGGAAATCCTTAAGGAGGAGTCTTAACGTGCTGGAGTAGGGATTTCCCGAACTAGTATAAAATCGGTGTGTCTTTTACTTTACATTTTTATTTCTGTATTTTATTTATTGTTTCTGCATTTGCCAACACCGTTTTTATTAAAGTCTGAAAAGATTTTATACGCCTTATTCAACCCCCCCTCTAAGGCGTGGGCACAACGATTAACATATTCGAGTATTTGTTCATTTTTTTTATTTTTTTGCTGTCAACAATTTTCAATTTCTGGCCTATAATTAAATAAAATATATATTGTATATTAATTAGATAAAATAATATTTGGAAACTATATGATATAATAAATCTAATAAAACTATTTTTGTATCAATATCTAATATCATTTTTATTTAAATTGAAAAAAAAAATTGACTAGAAAAAATTAAAAGTTGACAAATCAAGAGCGGAGAGAGTACTTTGTTTGTAGACATGATTTCAGCTCATTATATTCGTCATCAATGTCATAAGATGACGTGAGATTCTTATAACGTCTCATTTGAAAAATTAATGATTCCTTATAACCATAACCCCCTTAATCACTGTAGTAAATCAGCGAGGGGGCTGGAGGGTGCAAGGTGGTTTAGAAGAGATTGAATCATCAAGGCCAGGTTAAAGTCCTAGGTCATCTCACCACATTGTTCACCAATGTCTTATGAGTTGCCCCATTATTTATATACTCCCTCCGTCCACAAATAAACTTCTCGTTCACTATTTACAGGGTCAAACTTTATTTACTTTGTTGGCCTATTTTCGTCACCCAATTGATAAAATAATATAGTCATGTCACCTCTAATTTTGTAGATCTTTTGATATAGTTTTTTAATATGTAATTTTTATTTTTAAATTTTACACCATTTTTCATATAAAATGATTTGAAAATAGATTCAGTCAAACATCGTAACGCACAACGGAAAGTTTATTTGTGGAGGGAGGGAGTATAAACTATACTAATGTACTTTTTAATATCGGCAAGCACCTTACTTTAATTTTGTTAAATAAAACACAACAATTGTCTCGCTTTGTTTTTCCGTTCGCCTAAAAAGTGTCATACTCTATTAGAGCCTATTCTTTTTTGTTGAAAAAATAATTACAAGCTATTGGGAAATTAGAAGAAACATATAAAAAATAGAAGATATTGCATGAAACTAAAAAAAATTACAAGCTACTTGAAAAACTGAAAACGGAAAACAAATGGAAGAAACTGTAAAAAATAGAAACAAACTAGGAGAAACCCAGAAGAAATTTTATATTATTCTTATTATAACAGTTATTATTATTATTAAAATTATTAATATTATATTCATAACAATTAATAAAAGTGAATAATGTTTGACCATTTGAATGGTGTACATGACATTTAATTAGGGATAAATAGAGTAGCATAATTATTAATTTTAATTTAAAATATTAATGTTTCCCACGTCAGTTTAGAATAATAAAAAACAACTCCTTATCCATAATTTTTGGAACATACTTTTGTCTGATCTCATGTAAATTAATAAAAAAAATATAATTTTCCCAAAAAAATTGTATTATGTACTCCCTCCGTCCCGTTTTAAATCGTCTGTCTTGACTTTTGGGTATATTTAAGAAAGAGAAAAAATAGAGTTAATTTTCCGAAATTGCCATTACTTTTTAAGAGGGGTGACGATGAATAAGAAGATAAGGGGGAGAAGAGTGACTTATTTTAGGGGTAGTTTAGGTATTTTACTCTTAAAAGTTTACGGTAACAAGTAAGAGTCAACTTATTTTGGGACGGAGAAAAAGGAAAACTGGCAATTTAAAATGGGACAGAGGGAGTATATTAAAGAAGAAATCAACTTAAATAGGACTAAAACATAGAGAAAAATACCAAAATAGGACTTTCATGTTTTTTTCCCGAAAAAGGACTTTGCACTGTGGTAATGTGACTTTGCCTTGTGGTAATGTGGCAGTGTACATGTGCAAATTATTATATTTTTTTTGGTAATGTATATGACCATGTATGGTAATGTAAGTCCTATTTGGGAATAAAAACATGGAAGTCCTGTTTTGGTATATTTTCAATGTTTTAGTCATACTTTGGTCTTTCTTCCTATATTAAAAAGTCGACGTTAAAATAATAGTGATTGTGAATCATATATAATTGGTGTCCTTAAACTCACCCCGGTTTTGGCTATATCCACTTTGTTTATTGTTAAGTGGACAATTGTACCCTTAAAACACAGAAAACATATTAGATATCAACTAATTTTTAAAGGTAACCATTATACTTCCTCCGTCCTTAAATATTTGCCACATTTGTATTCCCGAGACAAAATATTAACTTTTTTCAATTCATTTTATTTACATATCGGTATAGAAATAAAAATTAAAATTTACATATTAGAAAACTACATGAAAATTTCTTCAAAATAAGAGGTGTCAAGAATATTTTATTTTATCAAATAACCAATGAAAACGTAGAAATAAACAAAAGTTCCCGCGACTGCTGAAAAAGCAAACGTTGCAAATAATTTGAGACGGAGGGAGTATATACATGCAGTGAATTTAGACATAATGGGAGGGAATATAGCAACACCTTATAATAATAATAACAACAACAACAAGAACAACAACAAGAACAATAACAATAATACTAATAATAATAACAACAATGGTAACAACAACAAGAAGTCAACAACAACAACAACAACAATAATAATATGAGATATTTTTGTGGAATAGTATTACGGAGTAAGTCCTTTTACACTAAGACTCTATTCCGTTCAACTTATTTTTCTGATCTTATCTGATTTTTTGTAGTTCTGATCTGGTCTGATCTGATTAGATCTGATCGGATCTGATCTGATTAGATCTGATCTGATCTGATTAGATCTGATCTGATCTGATTGGATCTGCTCTTATCTGGTCTGATTTGATTGGATCTGATCTGATCTGATTAATTATGATTTGATTTAATATTCAAATCAATAATTTGATTTGACTTTATAATAACGTTTGAGAATTGTAATGAGAATTCATATTATAATATAATCAATATTTTTTTATTTTAGATTATTTTTTCATGAAATAAATTTAGTTAATTCATATATTAGAATAATCAATAATATTATAATGTAATAATATTTTTTATTTTATGATTTTTTTTATGAAATAAGAATATTGATTTAATATTTTAATAATTAGTTCATATATACATTAGAATAAATATTCAATTCATATATACATTAAAAAGTAATTAAATTTAGATAATCATTATAGAGAAGAAATAATATTTTTATTAAAATATCCCATCCCTATAAAATATTAGTGTGTGCTTTGTACTACGAAACTTTTTTTTAATTAATATAACACCATAGATATAATAGTTATTTTAGTTACAATAAAATATGCTTCGTATATGAATATGAAATGTTAATTTTATTTAAGTCATGATCACAATTGATCAACTCGATGTAGTAAAAGATCAAAAGTTTAGAAACTTATATTACAGGTAGCAATAAAAATGTATTTTAAAAGTAGAATTAGATTGAAATTTTCAATGTATTTTAAAAATAATTTTCCCGATGTCTAATAATGGAGGATTACTTTCTTAGTTTTCTATTTAACTTGTTTCTAAAGTTTATTCTTTTTCATTTTTAATAATAATAATAATAATAGTAATAATTATAATATTATTATTAATTCTTGTTTGGATTAGATCTGGTCTGATCTGATTGGATCTGATCTAATCTGGTCTGATCTGATTGGATCTAATCTGATGTGATTAGATATGATCTGATCCGATTTTAATAAGAATAAAAATAGCAGATAAAATAAGTTGAACGGAACGGGGCCTAAGTCGTTCTCATGTACCTTCGATCATTACTCAAGCATTTATTTGATTGAACTTTTTATTCAAATATTTTTAAATTAAAGTAATGCGAAAAACAATTTCATTAGAAAAGGAATATGTAATATTTAAAACTAGTGAAAAAACAAGTAATCAACAGTGCTAAATCATACAAAGTAAAAAAACAATGGTGGAGTTCTAGTGACACCGGAGACGGTGATACTCTGGTGCCACAGTCATTTTGGAGCACTTCCGGTGTTCTGTTCGTAAAATTGACAGTTCCCACCCCTCTAATAGCCACACATTTTGTGGAGGGGGGATTATAGCGGGATAGGGGTGCAGGGGCGGGGGTAGGGTGGGGCGTTTAGGAGGTGGATTAGGGAGGTAGGAACTGTCAATTTTTCGAACGGAACACTGAAAGTATCCCAGAATGACAGTGGTACTGCTAGTGTCACCAAAAGTGAGTGTCACTAGAACCCCACCGAAAAACAAGTCGTGCAAGATAAAAACTAAAAGTACTCCATATAAAAAACAGTGGTTTAAAAAAATCATGTTTTTTGGTGCCACGTTTCAAACCATTTTGATTTTTGACAACATTAACGCCAAGTCCGGCGTGAATTAGGGAGTCCACACCCCCGCCAGCACACACGGTTTATAATTGAATCAATTAATTAAGGTGCATTCATTAATTACGGCGTAATCAGCTATTTAGCCTTAGAAATAATCGTGAAGGCCCGAGGCTTTACATCGGGGCTTTAAAATTTCTCTTTCTGTCAGTCAGTTTTAACTTAACTCATAGTTTTACTGAAAATTGGTTCGAAACCCCGGGGCTTCAAAACATTTATGTTTTTAAAATTTTTAATACACATTTTGTAAAATTAAATTACTAAAATGTCATTAATTAATTAAATTTAAAAGACAATAGTTCATCAAATAAAAAAAGAAAGTTTAATTAAGAAAAAAACTAATGCAAATTATATTTGACCTTGATCTCTTTTTGTCTTCTCTCGTAAATAATACTTTTGAAGCGCGTTAACGTATCAAGGTCGGTTTCTATTATTCCAACCTCTTCCTTCTCTTCTCTTCGTTTCTCTTTCTCTCTCTTCTTCCCTAATATTGAACAACGGCAGCTGTTCAACCATTGCTAATCCGATATTGTCATAAGAGGAAACAGAGCTAGCCCTTATTCCTTCCGATCAGCTGGGAATGAGGTCCTCATCATCAGAGTCCTCTAGGTTGAAAGGATGTTTTTTTTTATAACGAGCCGATAATCTCATCGGCCTCAACCTTGGCGGAGGATCTTTTCCTTGACGATTTAGCCTCGGGGTTGTTGAGTTGTTTCCATTTTGGTGAACGGCTTATAATTCTCCAAAGATCGACAAAGACCTTGCCTTGGTGTCAGTCGTCTTGATACCAGGCAATGATTTGCCGCAGAACATCAGTATCGTTCGTCCCGCTCTTTCAGGACTCAGAGCATTCCTTGTAAACTCCGATAAACATTCAGAATTTACAGTTGATGTGGCCCCATTTGGAAGTGTCCTAGTCTCGGTTTCGATAGGAGGCATCGTTGTTCATCGCTGCAATGAACTTCTCCTCGATACGATCCCACATTGCATTTTTTGTTTGCTCGAAACCTTTAAGAAACGCGCACACACACATGCATATATATATATATATATATATATATATATATATATTATTAAAAGAAATGAAAGGTACGAAGGTGGCCAACCCAACAACAAGCCAAAGGAAAACCAAACCAACAAAAGGAGTACAAGAAGAAGCTGCCAAACAACTAAACTAAGGAGGAGAATCTGACAATAAACTAAAAGAAAAAGAGTAGCTAGAGAAAAAGAACGCAGGACTCCAAGTGCATCCATGTCAACATCACAGCTGCATCCATTTTAGGGCCCCCAGTAGTTCATCTACCCAAAGATCACAACAAGTGTTACTGTCGATTTTCCATCCGATCCATTTCAGCCTACCAAGGAGAAAAGTACAAATGATGACCAAAGCTGCTCCAACCCTGAGCTGTCTATGAAGGACCCTGCTAGTACAGATGATGACGAAAGCTGCTCCGACCCTGATACCCGATCTCAAATACAGAACCCTAAACATACTATAGAGCAGAGTGCCTAATCATCAATTGAGCTACTTAAGACAGCAAGCATAAAATGAGACTAAATCAAATACCAAGGGCTTAATGTTTTATTTCCTGGATGCATTAAAAGAAACAAGATTAATCATTAACCAATTGTAGCTTGTGACTCTTCAGCCTGTTCCCCTGATAGAAATTCCGCCACAAGCCTTTCATCTGCTTTGGAACAAGAAATAAATGCTGGGTATTTAGAATCTTCAAATTGAACAAGGGTAACCTTTTCCATGCTTTTCACCGTCTCCCGTGTTGCTCTAAGTGTCTTACCCGACATGTTTTGAAAAAGTCCCATTTTCAGTTTATCCAGTAGTGATGTCTTCGCCAAAGCCTCTTGAACCTGTCTTTCCACTGCCCTGAAAATTGTTTCGAAGTAGGCCTCAAAAGCTGGTTGAAATAACATTTGGATCTTCTTTTCTTCATCTTCTGCTTCCTTAACCTCTTCTGACCCAGCATTTAACCCATGTTCTGTGAGTCTGGTCCTTCTAGATGTTATGGAACAAGAAGTTTTGAGGCAAAAACAAGTTCAAGAAGATGAGAGACCATTATTCTTGGAACAAGAAAAGATCATGGTCGTTAATAAACCATTGAGAATTGTGGAAGAACGAGAAAAAGAAGAAAAGATCATGATCGCATCTATGATTATGGGCTTTGACAATCGATTATGTAGTGATGCTGCAAAACAAAGGAACTTCAGGGATGTCGGATAGTCGATTGACACAAGTGTGACAATCGATTATTGGGCCTTGCGGCTTTTGCCAAGTGGATTCAGAAGGGTGCAATAGTCGATTATCTATATTTGATAATCGATTATTTGGGCAATCAGGATCCAAAGTATGGGTAGAAAATGAGGGTGTTTGTATGGGGAATGGATGGAACAATATGAGGGTGATGAAGGAGTTCTTTTGGTATTTCAATATGAGGAAAGAAAGGAGATTAAGAATAGAAATAGAGGGAGAAGAAATGGATAGAAAATAATGATGGATAAACCAAGTTGGTGTTTAAGAGATATTACACACTCTTATCCTCACTTGGGGTTTGAATCTAGAATTTAATTAAGATATGACACACTTAATCAAATATCTAGAACCTAAAACTCACACTTAAGATAACCACTCTTAAGATATAGAATTAGGAATTTGGCTAAAATAGCATCACACTATTTTAAGATACTCAAGGAGTAACAAAGTTTAATATTCAAAGGTTGTTTCTACAATGGCCATAGGGCCTGATTATATAGGGAAAGGGGAAGGGGGAAGAAAAACACAATACATTGAATGTAGACATAAGGAAACTTCCTGGAAGCAACTATTTCAAACATATGGGATAATACCCATTTATTCTTGTCTCCTTAATGGACTGAAATCAGAGATGGGTGCCTGGGATTGTGGGGTTGTTTGGCATGTGAATGCAGGTCACTTTATTGATGAATGGGTGGATTATTTCTGCCAAGGGGGGAAGGAATTGTGCAGGGGATGGTGGGTTATTTTGTAGGTTTCCTGTGGGTAGTTTTAAGGGGAACAAGGCAAGGTTTGATTGGTGTAAAGGTGGGTCATTATGTCTTGGATTATAGTGGTTGTTTGTGCATCCAAGTTGATGGACATAATGGGGAACAAGGATTGGGTTATGGCATGAGTTTTGGGCAGGGATTTTTGGCCAGGAGTGAAGGGAGGAGGGAAGGGGAATAATGTAGTTTTTGGGCTGGTTATTTTTGAATGGTGTTACTACACCCAGGAGTTTCAGGGATGGTAGATAGTCGATTATCAATAACTGATAATCGATTATTGGGGTTCGTTGCTGATGCCAGGGAAGTTCAGTAGGGTTCAATGGTCGATTGTCAGTGTTCAACAATCGATTATTAGAGCTCTCAGGACAGCAATACGGATAGAAGGTGATGGGTGTATGCTGCTGATGGAAAACTGAAATTATGGGAATGAAGGTGGAGTTATTTTTGAGTTGGTTCTTTTGGATATTTTGGGACTTGGTTTTTGGTGAGGGTGGTTCAGTTTTAGATGGGGAATGGGGGTTCCGAGGGGTTATGGCTGGGCCTTGTAGTTCAAGGCTGATTTCCACCCAAAAAGGAGCAAAGTCCTCAGCCATGGTTTCCTTCGATTGCGTGAACATTTGAAATATGTCTCGCAACTTGGATGCAGTGACCCTGGATATAACATCCTCCCCTTCTTCGAAAGAGTTTGCCCTCAAACTCGAGTTTTCTTCAGGTTCATCTTCAGAGCAGAATGCTATCATGCTTGAATCTTCATCTTCAAACACTCTTCGCTTTGGCCCTCGGGGAAGGGGAATTTGGAAACGCCACCTTGTACACTCAAAATGAGTGTTCTTTCTCTCATGCGTGTCTTCATGGAATCCCTGCAAATAATGCATAGAAACATTGGCACTAAAGGCCGTTAGTATTAACTCGGTCCCATGATTTCTTCTTTTAATGCAGGGTTCATGTCGAGGGCTTTCAACGAGGCACAAGGGATGTTTTGGGTTCAACACGGGTTCATGGGGTGACTCTTCGGGCCTTGAATATTTGGACTTCATAAAAATGGAAAGTATAGATGGAGATTGTGCCTGGGGCAGTTGGATAGACGGAATCATCGGAGCAAGAGTGAGTCTCATTGTATTCATCTCAAATGAATACGAGTTGGTGAAACCATCGTAGATAACTCTCCGATCATATAACCACGGCCTCCCGAGGAGAATATGACAAGCTCTCATGGGTATCACATCACACCATACGTCATCATGAAAGGACTGACCCATGCTAAAGGAAACCAAGCTACGTGTATTCACACGTATCCCTTCGTTAAGATTCAACCATTGAATCTCGTAAGGCTTCGGATGTGGCATTACCTTCAAATTGAGCTTTTCCACCGCTATTTTGGAAACAACGTTGGCACTACTCCCGCTATCAATTATCATTGAACACACCTTCTTTTGAATGGTGCAACGAGTATGAAAAATACTCTCTCGGTGTGTGGTATCATCTTGGGCAGCTGCATGAATAATGGTCTTTTGAATGACCAAAAGTTCACCTTCATCGGGACCAACAACTTCTTCTTCGTTCGGCTCTTCTTGAACCCAAAATGGATTCATTTCTTCTTCTTCTTCACATTCAACAATAGCCATGATCTTCTTGTTTGGACAGTCACTAGCATAGTGACCAACGCCTTGGCAACGAAAACACTTTGGGGCTCGGCTACTTGAAGAACTTGGTTTTGAAAGAGGAGGAGCATTTGGTGAGGAAATAGGGTGCACGGTTTTAGGATTTTTAGGGGAGGGATCTGTGGGGTTTTGGGCAGCAAGGGGGGTGGAATTTGATGTACTAGGGTAGGAAGAACTGCTACGGCTCAAAGAAGATTTTCCCTTCTTGAGTTGGGCTTCCACCTTAAGTGCTAACTTGGTTGACTCTTCAAGGCTCTCAAAGGTTTGCAGCTCCACTGTGTTGGCGATTTGGGTGTTTAGGCCAAAGAGATATCTGACAAAGGTTTGTGAGTCATTCTCTTGGAGATCACACCGCATCAAGAGTTCTTCAAACTCTCGATTGTATTCTTCTACGGACCGATTTCCTTGCCTTAGGTGTTGAAGCCTAGCAAAGTTTTCCCTTATATAATCAGTGGGAATGAACTTCTTCAATAAAGCCCTCATCTTGGTCCATGTTTGAACAACAGCTTTGCCTTCTCTTTTGCGCTTGGTGGTAGTGTTAGTCCACCACGTAGATGCGTAGCCTCTGAATTTTAAGGCCACAAGTTTGACCTTCTTGTCTTCCGGAACTTCAACATAGTCAAAGACGCGTTCAACCGTCTCTAACCATTCGATAAAATCATCAGGATCATCCTTGCCATCAAAGGTTGAGATTTCAACCTTGAAACCAGTGGAGGACTTCTCTTGGTTGTCCTTTCGTATGGAGGAGGAAGGAGTTTCTGCATGGGACTCTTCTTCTTGCTCGTCTTCACTTTCCTCGGGTGTCTCCGTCATCTTCAACTTCATTTTAGTGAGTTGAGCCACTTGTTTGGCCAAATACTCAACTTGAGCTTTGAGTTCGGCATTGGATGCAACCAAATCTTCCTTGGTGATGTTTTGAGAGGTGTGAGACATGTTTTGGCTGAAATGAGGATGAAGGAAAGGAGAAAGAGTGGAAGTGTGTTCTTAGTCCTTTGAGATGTAGGAACAAGAAGCTCTGATACCAGATGTTATCATAATCTTTTCTTCTTTTTCTCGTTGTACGTATGATGCAACTAGTTCTGGGACACACACAAAGCCCATAATCGATTATTATACACACACACATACACACACACATATACATAGATACATCAATACATCCAAGAAAAGAAAAGAAAAAATACAGACTTTTAAATTACAGGGCAAACAAAAATACAAAATAAGATGAAAGTAGGTGGATTGCCTTCGCTGGACAGACACAATTTTGCCGGCCTCTGCAGAGTTGATGATGGGCTCCTCCTTCGTTCTTCGTCAGTATCAAACCCCTCTTCAGTCCACTCTTTAGTCCTTGCCTCCAGATTCATATTGCGAAGGTATGTAAAGAATTCCCTTTTAGGCATATAGTTTGAAAACACAGATTATAAAGTTCTGGGTCTTTAATCATCCAGCCACTTGCTTTATTATTCCAACACCAATTCTGTATTGTGGATTTGATGTTTTGAGAACTGTTCGAAATGAGGGTTCTTCTTCATTGTATGTTGCAGATGTGTACAATTTCCAAATATTCCATGTTATCATTCCAGCCACCACCATTTAGAGATTACCCCTTAAGTTTTTACTGGATGATCTTAAACCTCATTCAATGAAATGTTGTCTAATTGTAATTCCTTCTCTGATGTTTGGACCTTGGAGCAGGTTGATGAAGGAATTCTAGATATTAATGCTAAGCTCACAATGCAACAAAGTGTGATTGGCTTTTCCCTCATGTCTTTTACAGAAGGGACACTGCGATGGCAAATGGTAGCCAAGCTTCATTGCTAAGTTTGGAAAGGGTAAGATTTCTTCCAAGACTTTCCATTGAAAAAGTCTAATATTGGGTATTTATAGTTTGTGCCATGCAAATTTGTAGCTTATTTGAGTAGTTCCAACCTTCCTGCATATATGGTACCCCTTCTTAAGTGTGAACTCCCCATCTTCCCATCTTACATTTCCATTTACAACCTCTGAATGCTCCTCTTCTTGAGCTGCAATTCTGCATATTCTTTTCCATATATGAGAATCTGTAAGTCTTTCTTGGAATGACTCTCTTTTAAAGTATTTATCTCTAGTAAAATTGGCCCAGATAGAGTCCTCTTTGTGTGTCTTCCACCACAGCTTGATGGAGTAGGCCTGTTGTATATCTCTCAAGTCTCTTATCCCTAACCCTCCTTCTTCCTTAGGGCTGCATAGGGACTCCCAATTCCTCTAATAATGTTTAGGTTTTCCATTATTGTAGCCCCAAAGGAAATTGGCCATTTCTTTGTGTAATTTGTTGATGATGGAGATTGGAAGGCTATGCATTGCCAGGTAGTGTAATGGAATTGAGGACAAAACATGTTTAATAAGTATAAGCCTTCCCATTGGATTCAACATTTTGCTATACCTGCTAGTGATATATCTGTCAAAATGTTTCAGAATATCCTGGCATTGGGTCTTTTTTAGCATTCCCTTGTAAATTGGAACTCCAAGGTATTTAAATGGCATTTTCTCATGAGTTATGTTCAAATCATTCACCATTTTGACTATGGTTGGTTGAGGTGTTTTCCTACCAACATAAAATATGGATTTGCTGTAGTTTACTTCCTGCCCTGAACCTCTAATTTAGTTACTCAGAATTTCTTTTAACTTGAGTAGATTTCTGATCCCACCATTGAGGAAGATAATTAGATCATCTGCATAAGCAAGATGGCTCAGCAATATATTTCTTCCTATGTTGTAGTTTTTCAGGATTTGTCTTTGAAAGCTGTGGTTGATCATTCTGGTAAATACCTCACTTGCGATAATGAAAAGGAGTGGAGACAGGGGATCCCCCTGTTTGACTCCTCTTTTCATATGAAAGAAACCAGTTTGGCTACCATTAATAAGAATAGATACATGGGTGGAAACCAAATTAGCAAGTAGCAGATCCTGAACCTTAGGGTTAAACCCAAACCTGTCTTGGACTCCCCATAGGAAACTCCATTAAATTTTTTCAAAAGCCTTTTCCATATCCATTTTGATTATCACATTACCTCCTTCACAATGTTTGTCAATGTTGTGCACCATTTCACTTGCCATAAGAGCTTCGTCATCAACCCCTTTTCCTTTTTGGTATCCAGATTGTTCCTTTGAGATCAGCTTGGGTATTAGGACCTGAAGTCTAGATGCCAAGATCCTAGTGTTAATTTTACTCATAAAAGTAGATAGGGAGATTGGCCTAAATTCTGAAAAGAGAGAGCAGTTATGCTTCTTAGGGATCAAGCTTAGAAAGGTGCTTTCAAAAGCCTGTGGAACTGGAATCCTACGAAAGAACTCCTGTGTGACCTTTATAACATCCACTTTTATAATATCCCAAAAAGTTCTAAAAAAGTACCCATTAAAACCATCTGGTCCAGTTGAACTATTTGAGTTCAAGTCCCAAACTGCCTTCTTGATTTCCTCCTCCTCTAGAATCCTTGACATCATGTGATTATCTTCAGGGCTGATGATAGGTGGGATATAGTTTAGGATGCTTTGAGCCTCAACTATGTTCTGTTTGTTGAAAACTTCTGAAAAGTAGTCCACTGCTGATGTTTTAATGCCCTCTTCATGTTCAATATGTTTTCCTGATGTATCTTTAATACTTCTGATCTTGAGTTTGGTCTTTCTTCCCTTTACAAAGGAGTGGAAGAAGGATGAGTTTTGGTCCCCATTTTCCATCCATAGAAGTTTGGCCTTCTTTTTCGAGAAACGTGTCTCCCTATTAGTTGCTTCAATCAATTTAGCACCACTTTATTAGCAAGGCTTCTAAGATTATCATCTGGATTGGCCTCATATGCTTGCTGGGCTTGCTGGGCTAATATTTCTGCCTCCTTTACTGCTGCAAAAATGTCTCCAAAAGTTTCTTTGCTCCAGGTTTTAAGTACAACCTTAAGTCCTTAAAGTTTGGCAGAGAGTCCCTTCATTTCTTCATACATAGGTTGACTAGTCCAGTGCCTTTCTACTTCCTTTAGAAAAGAAGTATGTGTTGCCCAAAAGTTTTGGAATCTGAAAGGTTTAGCTCGAAAGTTATCATGTTTACATTGCAGTATGATGGGTTTATGATCTGAGGTTGGTTTGCTGCAGTTGTGTGTAATTATTTCAGCAAAATAGTTCATTGCCTTCTCATTAACAAGTGCCCTGTCCAGTCTTCTCCAAATTCTGCCTCTACTTCCTACCCCAGTCCAAGTGAATGTGCCACAAGTGGTATGTGGACTGATAAGGGGAATGGAATCAAGGCATTCCTTGAACTCATTCATCTTTGTAAAGTTAGGGGTAGAGGAGCCTTGGTGTTCTTCAAGAGAACAAATGGTGTTGAAGTCTCCTCCTACTATCCAAATGTGATCAGAGATTCTATTTGTAGTGAGGTCCTCCCAAAATTGTCTTCTTTCAGCTCCTATGTGTTGCCCATATACAGGTGTGATACTGCATTTTATACTAAGAGAATTATCCCAAAAGTGGAAAGTATACATTTGCCCTAGTTCCTGTATTTGGGTTAAGGCAAATCTGTCTCCTTTCCAGAAGACCCAGAGCTTGTTATTAAGAGCTGTTGCACAATTACTAAAGCCCAGATTTGCTCTAACACTATTGACTTTATGTTCTTTAACCTATCGTTCAATGACTGCAACAAAATCTAAAGAGTGGGTGTTAGAGGGGGAGAGAAGTCTATTTAGAGAGGAGTTGATGCCACCGACATTCCAAAACATAACATTCATTAGAGATGATAGAGTGTAATTTCTTTTGTCCCTCTCATACTTCTAGTAATCATAGTGGGGATAGGTGTGTCCTTTTTTCTCCGAGCTTTAGGAACTGATACACATATTGCATTTGGTGCAGGGGTTCTGAGGCTAAGTTGTTGAAGCTTGGATGTATCATTGAAGTCCTGTACTTCATCCTCTGAGTGGTAGCCAAATTGAAATTCCTCTTCCAGTAGATAGGGAACTGTGTTGTTGATTTTTAGGGACTCTAAAATAATTCCAAGTCTTTGTTCAGAGGTTCTTCTATGCAAGCAATCATCAAAGGATCTTTTCGATGATTCTCCAATTTCCTTTCTTGAGAAAAGTGGTGTGTAGTTCTTATTCATCTTATTAGTGTATTCCTTAGCTTCTGAGAGTGAGGAGAAAAGCTCTTTTGTTTTGTTGTTGTTAGTCTGAGGGTAATCCTCAAGGTCACAGTGTTGATGTATAAGTGGGTCCTCCACTGCTCTGTGACCTATCTCAATATAAGAGGAGGCTGAACTGGGGTCAGAAAGGGGATCAATCAATACTATGCCCGACTTCATGGGCTAGTCCAAAAGATGAAAAGTGTTTTGTAAGGTAGCTGCTGGAGTGATGTTCTTTTTTTCTTGACCCACATCTACTGTGTACCATGTGAAGATGGCTGGTTGTTATTGTTTTTTTGCTTTCTCCTGACCCATTCCCAACTCTAGGTCCCACTTTAACCCTGCTCCTTGGCCTTACCCTTGCCGGAGGCAGTTCTTCCGGTGGGTATTTTGGCGTGCAGTTCTGTGTATGGTGCCCTAGAATTTTAAAATTGTTGCAGTGGGCTGGGGGGTTTTCAAAACAGCAAGGCACCTGGGAGTCCTTATTCCCCAGTCTGAGATGAATAGATTGTGGTAATAGGATACTGATATCCCTTTCAATCAGAACTCTAGCTTCCATTCCCCTATCCATATTAGCAGCCCCGTAATCCAATTGAATTGGATTGCCAATAGTAGATGCTAGGGTATGAAGGGCTTGGAAGTTGAGAAGGTGCAAAGGCAAATGCTTAAAAGTAACCTAGATTGGAACTATAGGACAGTCCGATGAAGGATGATAGCTCTTTGTCCATTTGGAAACATAAAATTGATTTTTACCAACATACTAGTTTTTCTTGCGCAGGAACCTAATGTAATCTGCCTGCTCCTTGAATATGAATAGGACATCCTGGTCTCAAATTCTCTAGATCTTGAATCCACCATTAAAACCACCTTTGAGGAGAAATGACTTAAGTCCTGGTAAAGAAAGCTTTATGCCTGACCATCCAACCACTGCAAACTTGTGAGAGGTGGCTAGAATGTCTTCCTCTTCCATTGTGAATGATGCTGAAGGAACTCCATTACGGAAGCCCTCCACTTTTCCCACAGCCTGGAGCTTGGTCTGAGAGAACAATTGTAAGAAAAGTTTGGGAAGTTTGTTCCTTGAAGGTGCTACCAGAATTGTTGCTGGAGTGTCACCTGAAGAATTTCTCTCTCTAGACAACTCCTTCTCTGATAGACACACACACACATGTACAATATATAATAAAAAATATATAAATTTTCCCAATGACAGGATGCTCGGAGACGTCAACTATGTGGACACTAACAATGAATCTTCCTCCGATGTCCACTTTTGAACGGATCGTGCCGCCTTGGTCACTGGCTTGTCGCTCTTTGATTTGTCACTCTTTCGGGGTGCACTTTTTTCGGTGCACTTGGTTTCGATTGAGTCTCCTGAACCGACTCCGGGTCCTCGAGATTTACCAAGGTTTGCGTATCGAACATTGATGGATTACTAGCGTATGATTGGAAAATCCACATTGCTTGCTCGTTTGGCTCAAGAGGAGATGAAGGAACATCAAAAACAAAGGGATTCATGTTAAAATAAAAAGAAATACTTGAATAATTATTTTTAGAAAGAGGAGAGAGATTTTTATTTATGGTGTGTGTTGAATTTTATAAAAATTGAATGAATTAATAGAGGGGTTTTTTTTTTAAAATACTAACAGCATTATAGCCGTTGTGGGGGTGGGGGAGGGGTTCCAATGGTTCTTTTGAGTCAAAAATTGCATCAAACGCTTGACGCAAAAAAGATGATGCTCGCTTAACGGAAAAAAAAACCCTCTGGCGTTACATGTATTAGAGAGCGTCATCTTCTTTGCCGGGGGTGTTTTTTCCGATTTTAACACTCCAGCGTTAAACACCGCCCCTCCCACGTTAAGCGAGTGTCATCTTCCTTGCATCAAACATTTGATGCAATTTTCAGGCTCAAAAGAGCCATTGGAACCCCCCACAAAACGGCTATAATGCCGTTAGTATTAAAAAAATTCCTCCTCTATAATTCATTCTATTGTTTCAAAATTTAACACACGCCACAAATAAAAATCTCTCTCTGATCTTTCTAAAAAAACAATTATTCAAGTATTTCGTTCTCTTTTTAACATGAATCCCTTCGGTTTGAACGTTTCCTTCTTCGGTCTTGATCCAAACGAGCAAGCAATGTGGATTTTCCAATCAAATGCTGGTTATCTGTCGATGTTTGATACATAAACCTTGGTGAATCTCGAGGACCCGGAGACTCAACCAGAACAAAGTGCACCGAAAAAGTGCACGCCTGTAGAGTCAGAAACCGAAGGGCGACAAGTAGATGACTATGTTGAAACACGGGCTTGTCACGTTTTTGTACTAAAGCCGTGTTCGTTTTTGTAAAAGGTTTTGATAATGCCAAACTGCCGTGATCAAGTCGAACATTGAATATACAAGGCGAAGAACAAAGATAAGAGCAAGAGCTAAACGAAGACCAAGAACGAAGACTTTAGTCATAGTGTTGAGTCGGTCTTTATTGTGATCAAGACCGACCCAATCTTTACACCTTGGCTCTTTAGGCTAAAATCTCTCATTGCATTTCTTACATCATAAAAATGTTTTTCAAACTTGTTTAAGTCATTAAAAACACTTGGTGTTCGCCCAAACCAAAAACCAAGCCATCCAGTGTTCGGCTTTCAGAAACCAGCGTTCGGCTTTCGGTTGTCGGGTTTGGTTTTTGGCATCCGAACCAACCAAGTGGTTTTCAGCATTTTATGATCTGCTTTCACTCTTTGGCATGTTTAAACGGTTCTCCAANAGGACAATGCACAAAAGAAACCTTATTATTTCTTCTACTTTGACGAAAAGAAGAATGTCCACATTCCGTTACCGGAACCGACACAAATCACACCGAGATATCGGCACTCCGTTCAGGTAGATTGGAACCCGCCAACCACGAGACGATGGGTTGGCCAAGGTAACTCCTAAACAATCATTTAATCGTGTATGTGTGTGTGCGCATATGGAAACATATTTTGGGTGTGTGTGGGCAATAAAGGTAAACTAACCCCCAAGGACCTATAGACTTACTTTGGGTACCAAAGTGTTGTTCTTTTTTGCAGGAACGGTCCAAAGTGAAGAAATCCTAAAGTCAGGGGGAACCAGCGATGGGTGGGTTATACCATCGCTGGGAGGGAAGCTTCTTGCTTTCAAAACCCCTCTTCCCATCGATGGGAACCTCCTCCCATCGATGGGTTATTGACTCTATTTTTTTTAAAAAAAATGGTTAACAGATTTCCAGAACACCTTTACCCATCGATGGGTAGTTTATCCCATCGCTGGGTGAGTGCTTGCTTTTGTTTCAGAACCTCCCAACCTATCGATGGGAAGTTCCTCCCATCGCTGGGTGTTTGACACTTGTTTTTAAAATTTTTTTTTAACGGATTTTCAAAACTACCAACCCAGCGATGGGATGGTATTAACATCGCTGGGGAGGCCATTTCTTTTCTTCGTCAATTTCCAGAAGCCACCTTCCCATCGATGGGAAAATCCAAACATCGCTGGGAAGGCAGCCTTGGGTTCTTCCTCGCTTTCCAGTGGCGACCTTCCCATCGATGGGTAGATCCTACCATCGCTGGGAAGGCATCTGCATTTCAAAAATTCAGAGCCGTTGGGCACCACATTAATTGCCCAACAGCTATATTTTTGAATCCAAACGGCCTAATCTCCCATTCCCTATATATATCCCTCATATTTGCTCATTCTAATACACCATTAACATCATAATTTCATTCATTGATCCAAATCTCAATATTTCATCTCCTTTTTTCTTCAAAAACGCCACAACTATGGCCGGAGGAAGATCAAAGTCAAAGGCATCGAAGAAGAAAGGCCTTACTGAGGCCACAACCTTTGCACCTCAACCCTTTCCGTACCTGGATGGATCCTTCCTTGAATTTGGCTCGGAGGAAAAACTCACGCGCTTCCTCAATCACTTTGCCAAACGCCCGATTTCTCCGCCCAGGGTGCTGCCCGAGCTATACCCTCAACAAAAGGGGTACCACGACCTCGACAATCAGCTTCAAGCGTCAGGTCTGTGGTCGTTCGTCTCCAGGAGCCGTCAGTCCTACAATCCCGCCTTTGTCCGGGCCTTCTACTCCAATCTCCGCCGTGACAGGGACACCATCCGCAGCAGCATCAATCTCTACGACGTAGAGATTGATTTGCCTACCTTTGCACGGATCGCAGGGCTGCCCATCTGCGGTGACGACATCGCGACGTACGGTGGCGACGATTGGATCCTCAACAACGAGGCGGTCGTCATTCGTGAGCTTGGGATCACCAACTTGATCCGCCACAGCGGCGCGCCGACGATTCACTCAGCCCCACTGGACAAGCGCCTCCTCCTCTTCATCATCACCCGGATTCTTCGCCCCCGGGACAACAGCCATACCTCGCTCTTCAACGAGGATTTGAAGGAGATTCATGCAATCATCCACGGCACGCAATCTGTCATGTGAATCATGACGAATTTTGCCCAATTGATGGAGGCGCTGTGCATGATGGCGTGAATCGCCTTCAAGTCCTCGTTGAAGAGCGAGGTGTGGCTGCCATCCCGTGGGCAGAGGATCTGGGTGAGGATGTAGAGTAGGAGGCGCTTCTCCGGTGGGACCGAGTGGATCGTCGGCTCCCCGCTGTGGCGGATTAAGTTGGTGATCCCAAGCTCGCGAATGACGACCGCCTCGTTGTTGAGGATCCAATCGTCGCCACCGTATGTCGCGATGTCGTCACCGCAGATGGGCAGCCCTGCGACCCGAGCAAAGACAGGCAAATCAATCTCTATGTCGTAGAGATTGATGCTGCTGCAAATGGTGTCCCCGTCACATCGGAGATTTGAGTAGAAGGCCCGGACGAAGGCGGGATTGTAGCTCGTGCGGCTCTTGGACACAAAAGGCCACAGACCCGACTCCTTAGCTTGAGTTGATTGTCTTGGTCGTGGTACCCCTTTTGTTGGGGAAACAGCTCCGGGAGCACTCGGGGCGGACAAATCGGGCGTTTGGCGAAGTGAGTGAGGAAGCGCGTGAGTTCTTCCTCCGATCCGAACTCCAAGAAAGATCCGTCCAGATATGGGAACGGAGGAGGCGCGGAGCTTGAGGGTTCGGCAGCGGCCTTCTTCTTGGAAGCCTTCGTCTTCTTTCCTCCAGCCATCGGGACGTTTTTGAAGCAAAAGAATGAATTTTGCTTAGAAGTATGAAATTTAGATGAAGATTTGTGATTAGGAATGATAAAAATGAGGTATATTTATAGGAGGAGAGGAGAAAACGGATTTAGTTCAAAAAATATGATTGTTGGGCATTAAATTCGATGCCCAACGGTCAAAAAAATTTGAATCGCAGCAGGCTTCCCAGCGATGGGTAGGAGTTCCCATCGATGGGAAGGTCGCCACTGGAAACCAAGGATAAATTCAAAACTGCCTTCCCAGCGATGTGTGGATTCTCCCATCGATGGGAAGGTGGATTTTGGAAAGTTGAAGATTAAATGACAAAAGCCTTTCCAGCGATGTTAATACCATCCCATCGCTGGGTTGGTGGTTTTGGGAAATCTGTTAAAAATTTAAAAAAATAGTGTCAAACACCCAGCGATGGGAGGAAGTTCCCATCGATGGGTGGGGAGGTTCTGGAAAAAAAAATTTAAAACACAAGTCATTCACCCAGCGATGGGATAAAATACCCATCGATGGGTAAAGAGTTTCTGGAAAACCGTTAAAAAGTTTTTAAAAAGATAGAGTCAATCACCCATCGATGGGAAGAAGTCCCCAGCGATGGGAAGAGGAGTTCTGGAAAAAAATGAACTTCCCTCCCAGCGATGGTATAACCCACCCATCGCTGGTTCCCCCTGACTTCCAGAATTTTTCACTTCGAACCGTCCCTGCAAAAAAGAGTTAGAAAACCCTCCAACGCTCAAGTTAGTAAACGTTCAAGCAAAGATAAAAGAGTGATAAAATGCACAAATTAGATCATCGTGGAGTCAAGGATTCCGAGTTCACTACGAATGCGGAAGAACGACTCTTTCTCTAAAGGTTTTGTGAAAATGTCGGCTAATTGGTTGTGTGTTTCAACAAACTCAATTTCGACATCACCTTTGAGAACATGATCTCTAATGAAATGGTGCCTAATGTCAATGTGTTTCGTCCTTGAATGAAGAACGGGGTTCTTCGTCAAGCTTATGGCGCTAGTATTATCACAACAAAGTGGAACGTGACGGAAACTAAGGCCATAGTCAATGAGTTGTTGCTTCATCCAAAGATTTGAGCACAACAACTACCGGCGGCAAC